TATTGGTTGTTGTGGAGGAAAGTATGATTGATCAGTGCTGGATAGATTGACAGCCCACAAAATTCCATCCCAGTTAAACAAACTACAGGCACTATGTGAGGTTGTAAAAATGAGCTGGATGAGGGCAAATTTGGTTGTGTTGGTCTACTCATAAGTCACTGTTCCAGATTGTTTTCTAGAATATTAATTTTTCTGCCCAGAACAGGTACTGGAATGTGGTCCCTGAGGTTGTTTTGTGGCTGGTTGCACCTTTTCTCTCTAGTCTGGTGGGCAAGTGGATTTCATTGGGGGTTCCTACTCTGAAGTCACCATTCTGGGCAGTTTTTCACAATATTGATTTGCTGCTCAGAAAAGATACTGGAATGTTGTTTCCAGCGGTGTCTTGTGGCTAGTTCCATCAGTCGTCTCTATTTGGATGGGGCTGGTGAATTTGGTTGGGCTGTCTTACACAGAAATCACCATTAACATATATTAACAAAGTCTTTTTTTAATCATTCACACATCATGTCATAAAAAATACAGATGCAGCGACTGGAAAAATGCTGGCACAAGAGAAATCTTAGGCTAACATTTTGAACCACAGCTATAGTTTTGTCTCTTCTTCCAAACAGAGTGTGAAACCCAAGAATGTTTGCCTAGGAAACACTGGCTTTCTGTAGGGAAGTTGTGGTTAACACCCAAGAACAAAAGTAATAGCTGGGAGGTTTGTTGTTTGGTGTGTGTGTGTGTGTTGCAATAGGATTAAAGGGGAAGGGACTGTTGAAGCAAGATTTTAGGCATAGCCATTCCTTGTAACAGATGGAGATGCAGATTGCTCCTAGCAAAGTGCCAGGGAAAGCTGAAGGAGGGCTATTGGAAAACAGGGAGCCTTTGCTGAGGATCCAGGATGGCTTTCCCCTGGCTAGGCTTCATATCTCTGCTCCTGCTATGGGTATGTTGCACTGCAGCAAAAGGTAAGTAACTTAAATGGATATCATCAATTATATTGTATGCCAGGGTCCAAACAATGGTTAGAGGCATTATGGGTCTTTTACATCCCCTCATTCAATGGGGGTCATTCTATAAAAATGGTTTTATTGTGTTCCCTTCCTTGCCTCAGCAATAGTACTTTGAGGAGAGTGCACTTATTGTTATCTTCCACTTCCCATGTTATTATTTTGACTTTTTATTCCTTACTACACACATTTTAAATAGTGTTTACATATAAACATACAGAACGAAAACTAAAACCAAACAGAAATAACAATAAATAACAACAAAACATAAAAACTAAACATCCATGCTACCTTTCCCCGAAAATAAGACCTAACCTGAAAATAAGCCCTAGTATGATTTTTCAGGATGCTTAATCCCTACCCCCAAAATAAATCCCAGTTAAGTGAAACCCCACCCTCTACCATTGTGCAGCATTGTGCAGCAACCAGAAGATGATATGACAGTAAAATAAAACATCCCCTGAAAATAAGTCCTAATGTGTCTTTTGGAGCAAAAATTAATATTTTTGTCTTATTTTCAGGGAAACATGGTACAAATATACATCAGAAATTTTGCCATCGTCTAGACATCTAAATATCAAAGGATTCTAGTCAACTCTGATTTGCCATAAACTATTTCTTCACCTAAGTTCCTGTCTTTTTTCTGGGCCCAATTATATATCAGCTTCCAGCTTTCCTTTACAAAGTGTATCAGAATCAAACTGCAATCTGCAATATCCAGTAGCTATTTTAATAGCTCATCCATTGTTGTACACACAACACATTTTTGAGCAAAATATGAAAGAGCTATGTAAAACCGTTTTAATGGTGGGTCTTGAAGCCATCTGTCTGAAAGCATTAATTAATTCCTTTCAGATTTCAATGATTTACTTAAAGAAAGGAGTAGCCAAATTAACTTTGTGTAGGGGAGAAACTGTGTGAGGAAATCTTAAATGTATCAAAAATCAACAGCTACTCCTCTTACAAGGCAGCAGACCCCTAGAAGAGCCTCAGCTGAGGAGAAAGGTGGGGTTTAGCTCCCTTTTGTCTCCCTAATCTTCACCACTGTGTTCTTCTCTTATGCTGCAGCTGTCTTTGGTTGCTGTTGGTGCTGTCTCTACTTGTCAGTAAACAAGGTAAACTTACCTGTAAATAAACAGGGTAAACGTACTCACAAGTAAACTGGGTAAAACTTGCTGTGAGTTCATCCCCAGCCACAAAAGGGGTGGGGTGAAACATCATTGCACAGCTTAAATGAGTGACCTGCTGAATATTATTATTCATTTTTCCCAATTTCTTTTTAAATATTTTCACAGGAAGCAATTAAATGTGTTCTTTTTCCACAACCATTAAATGGACTTCTGAGTGGCAGGGTCAAAAGTTTAGTCTGCTTAGAATGTTGGTGCCTTATAAGCAAGCTCACAAACTCATCATCTTTTTCACTTTAAAATTGTTCCTGTTCAAGTGGATGGCAGAATTTCTGAATGGGACTGACCATTCTCTTTCAAGGTATGTACATTTTGGTCTTTTCAATATAGTTTATCTGTTTAGATCAGCCATAGCTCAAGGTCATTTGCTTTTTCATGTCAGTAAAACAGCGTTACCCTTTAAGAAATCATAACTTCAAAATCTTTTGCCCAGCATCCCAAAATTTGGCACTCAATAAGAGCAGACATTCTGCTATACCTGTGCCAAATTTGATGCTGATCCACGTTCCAGTTCTATAGTTATAATTGTTTCAGGCACCCCCATTTTTTGAGTTGGCCTCCAGAATGCTGAATCCTGCTGTTAGCCCGGCGTATTGTTCCAGCGACAATACAGGAACCATTAAAAAGCAATTTTGGAGGAACATATGAGTAAATAAAAAAAAAAAGGAAAGGGAATATACGAAGCAATTAAACCAAAAAGGAAAATAACACCAAGTCTGTACTTATTTACTGTATTCATGCATATTTCATCCCTGACCTCTTTTAATGGCATACACCAGCATGGATCCTTTTAGTAGAAAGATATGGTGAAAATATTTTAAATAAATAAATAAACAAACACACCTTCTCACCAAGCTTATTTGAGATGAAGGGACAGACACAATAACAGGTCTGGAAGACCCCCATGTTGCCAAAACAAAACAAAATAAAAAAACAACCCCCTCCTAAAAACAACAACCAATGCAATGCAAAATAACCTGAAAGGGAAAGGATCTGGAAGGCTTTAACCCCAGTCTGCCCTAACATAATAGGGATCTCTTAAACTAAGTTGAGTCAATAGGAAACCCAACCACTCCTGAAACAGAAACAAAGAGAATGTGTGCCCTGAGGGGGGAGGCATAGATAGACAAAGAGAAAGGGTGTTGGAGAACCAGAGAGAAGTGGCAGAGAGAGAGAGAGAGAATCCTCACATGGAGAAAGAACAGAACCACTTAAAGAAAATATGGATGCCACAGAGTGAGTGAGGAGAGAGAGAGAAAGATGGGAGTAACTTAGAGGGAAAAAGACAGAAGCAACATACAGTGGTGCCTCGCTTAACAATTACCTCATTAAATGACAAAACCGCTTTACAATGAAGTTATTGTGATCGCAAAATGATGTTTCTATGGGGAAAAATCACTTAATGATGATGGGTTCCCTGCTTTGGGAACCGATTTTTCGCTAGATGACAATTTTAAAACAGCTGATCGGCGGCTCTAATTGGCGCCCACTGTGCAAATGGCTCCCCGCTGTGCTTTAGGATGGATTCCTCCCTTTACAGGCACCGGAAAATGGCCGCCCTATGGAGAATCTTCACAAAACGAGCAGGTATTTCGCCCATCGGAATGCATTGAACTGGTTTTCAATGCATTTCAATGGGTTTTTTAATTTCGCTTGAGAAGGATTTTGCTTAACAGCGATTTGAATGGAATGAATTATCCTCGTCAAGCGAGCCACCACTGTAAATAGAAAACAAGAGAAGAAAGTTAAGAGAGAGAGAGACGGAGAGAGATCAAGAGCTTCTCCGGAAGGCACGGTGGCCAGAGGAATCCAAAGGAGCTCCTTCCTCTCCCCCACTTTCTTTCTTTCCTTCTTTAGTATTTAGATAGAGAAAGCTAATCTCAGCCTACTTTAAAAGCAGAGCATGACCACAGCATTACATACTGTAGGATTTACACTGCTTAAAAAAAATGATGTATTCAAATTATTTTCTGCTTGACCACATGATGCAAAAGCTCATTTGAATCTGGGGCTATTTCCTCCTAACCCAGATATTTTTCTTAACCGCAGGGTACCTTCTACATTTTTATTCCAGAAGGATTCAAATAGGTTTTTCTGCATGTGGTCAGTTTTAAACTTAAAAAACCAGATAATGAAATCCTTGAAAGCCCTCTGGTTTATGAATGTGGGATATTGCTTTTAAGTCCATGATTCAAAATGCCAGGAAATGTGCTATCAGCAGAAAAAAGGGATGCCAAGCTTTGCATAGCAAAGGCCAATCTAAATGTTGACTACACCAATGTCAGCAATCAAGAAGGTCTATAGGACTTCCTCTTGCACTCAGTACTATTCACAAACAAGAAGCAAAGAAAAATCCAGAACCTGACTCCTTTTTTCATCCATTGGACATTTTTAACTTCTAAAAAATTGTCATGGCTGATGAATTAACTCAGTGTAAGTGAAAACTAGAAACGGGCACAAATCTCAGTTGAGGCGTTTGTGCTGATTTGTTTACGTGTTGCACCACAGGTGCTGCATGTTCCCTTCCCCACCTGCCTGGGTGGATCCTTGACTCACCAGCGGGAACATGCGGCTGTCCTCTTCCTCTTCAGCTATTCAACCAATCTCTGGCAGGAACTTCCCTTCCCTGCCTCCTTGGCTGACTGCCCATTAAGACAAAAAAGGCAGGACAGACAACCCCATGTTCTTGTGCTCCAAGTAGTGAGTGGGTCATTGGCCAGGGAGGTGGGGGAAGGAAGCTGAGGTTCTAGTGAAACCAGCAGGGTTTTCAGCTAATATACAGGAGACTTGTTCCATTATATAAAAATAATGAGAATAATGTTTTTGCAAATGAGCTTTTATTCTTATTTTTCAGATGTGGACAAGATCTTCAGAGGTAAAAACATCCACTGCCAATACATGCAACCATTTAGCACTGCTAGTTCTAACTAGTAGCTCACAGGTACAATGTTAGCATTCTAGCATATTTCTTGCTTCTCTAAGGTTATATTTTACTGTTTTAAACTGAGCTAATAAAATGGTTGGTTAGACCAATGTGTATAACATGTGCATAGTTTCACCTGCAATAAAGTTGCAGGGTTTTTTTTCCATAAAATTTTTAAAATGTTTGTAATTCACTGTGAGCAGCTGCATAAAATGGTGAAAATGGCACTTGAAAAAATCTTGAAAAATTTAATTAAAGGCAAGTAATCAATGATTCTGGAAGACAACATGCTGGTTAAAAATCTTGGCTGTATGCCTCTCCTCCATTGTCTTATATCTGTCAAATATAAAGTAAACAGTGAATAAAGAAGGTTAGATGCCGTGATCATGAGCAATTATATTTGTATAAATATTTCTTGATCTGAAAAAAGCAATTTTTCATAGGAATATGAATAAATTGTTTCTATACACAAGCAATAGAATCTAACTCTATTAACATAGTTGTATCTTAGTCATATTAATTTCAATATTCTGATGCACTAAGCCAAGTACCTAATAGTATTAAAATGAGCAAAGACATGGAGATTATGCTATTTCTGGTCAACATTTAACTGCCCTCAACACTCCATGTTGCCCCATTCTTACTTTATTTACCATTCAGAATAACTGTGTTACACTAAAAAGTTTCACACTCTTTGTATGTTGACACACACTTGTCTTTCTTAGCATTTTAGTATATGCTTTTGATCTGTGTTGAAAAAATCAATCTTTTTTTCTGAAGGAATGCTTTCAAATACTAGTTCCCTCACTTGTTGGATAATAATAGCTCTCAGTATGACAAATTGGTATATGTCTAGATATGATCTTTTGATGCTAACATTTCTGACATTTGCATGTACTTCTCAAGCTGTATGTCACGCCTTCAGCCATGCCAGCTCCCAGTCAAAGACAACATTTTCATTTGCCTTAGGGTCAATGTTTTGAAATTTTTTTTGTAACCCAACCACATCTGCTATTGTACTTATATCTCTTATATAAAAATCCATTTTTCAAGTTCACAAGTAATGACCCAGTTTTAAACCAGTATAATTTAGTAGCTGCAACGGGACTGAGGTAATGAAATGATTCACTGTAGTCTATGAGAGTGGTGTGTTGGGATCATCTGCAAACCCCACCATAAATTCTGTCAGTTCCAAATTATCCTAGAGTCTGTACTGAGAAATATTTTAAAATATTTAATATTGCTGTAAATAAGTTCTAAATTTAAAAATATTTTAAAGCTGTTACTTGCCATTCACCTGTAAATATTACCATGCTTTGTGAATGAGTAAGAAGCTAATGGGTTGAATCCACTGCAAGGTCTGCTGGTGATACATTTTTTTTGCTCATGGTATTTTCTCCCTACCTTAGCAGCTGCCATCATCTGCCACCACCCCGGCGGTGCCACCATCCATCACCACCTGCTGTGGTGACCTCCGCAGCCACAGCCTGCCATAAGGGACACTGGCTGCCCTTTGCAAAGATGATGGCTGCAGCTTCTCTTAGGCAGGGAAGCTGTAGCCACCATCTTTGCAAAGGGCAGCCCAGATTCCCTTAAGGCAGGCCATAGCAGTGAAGAGAATCGCAGCAAGCAGCAGTGGATGGTGGTTGCGGAGGCTTACATTGCCAAGGCCTCCACGGATGGAGGTGGTGGTGGCGACACGGACTGTGGCAGCCAAGGTAGGGAGGCAGCAGGGATAGTGGGCATGTGGAGGGGTCACCCTCAAAGAACCACAAATTGATTCATGGTTCATTGGTTCATGGGGAGGTGATTTGTGGTTCATGGTTCATCAACTTTGATGGACCATGAACCAGGATGAACTGCCATTTTGGCAGTTCATCCTCATCTCTAGTGACCATGCTTTGTGAACAAGCTAAGAGCTAATTGGGTTGAATTCATTGCAAGGTTTGCAGGACATACAATTTTCTGCCTATGGAGTTTTCTCTACCTTTCCTCCCATTCCAATGCATCCTGGTTTTCTTTGTCCATCTGGAATTACTTGTTCTTGGAATAATATGTTTAATAATATTATTCAAAGTGTAATAATATATCACTATAACAATATGTTTGTCAGGACTAATTAAAGTCCTATTAAGTTCATTGGGTCAATCTGAAATTAATGGGAAAATTAGTAATTGACATCATAGTAAATTGCAGTAAGCTCTCAGTGTAGCCAATGAGTTGATGAATCTGATCAACCAGAAAGAAAACAGAACACTAAACAAAGTTTTCTAGAACAAGATCAAAATGAGGTCAAGAATAAGGCCACATAGAATGTACTAAAATGCTGATATTATGAAACTGAATCTAATCATTTACATATGAATCCTCAATGGGCTGTAGGAAACTTTAGTTTAAACTAAATGTTTCCAGCACCTGATCCAGGTTATGCCACCAGATATTTATACCAACAGGATTGTGCCCAGTAGCAGCTAAATGACATATTAAAAATATAGAACCAATCTAGAAAATGTTAGTTGTACTTAAGTCCCAATGAAATCTATGGTAACAGTTAGTAATTGATTTCAGAGTCTCAGCAATTTCAGTGAATTCTCAGTGTAGCTAACAATTCATATACAATCAACTGACTACACAGAGAACATAGTACTTAAAAAAAACCTTTCTGGAACCAAATTACAAAAAAAGGGACTTAAGAGTAGAGTCACATAAAATATTCTAAAATGTTGATATTCTGCTTCTGAATCTAATAATTCATATGTATCTGCCTATGCATAGTTTTTGTTATCATTTGAGGTAGTATTTTTTCTTTTTTTAAAATCCCATCTTTGGTTTTCAAGCCATGGCAGAGAGGCAGGCAAAGTGCAGCCTGCAAGCCGTATGTATCCTCGGCACTGTTTTGGCAGCCTCTAAACTTCTTCTTGCGGCCACCCACGTCTCTCCCTCTCCCTCCCCATCTGGAAAAAAGTCATGTTCCGTTCCCAGAAGCCTCCAAGAGTGCCTGATTTGCAATAAAATGGGGTGCTGTGCTCCCCCCCAGCCACTTCCTGTTTTGATTTTTCAGTATTTTTGCACATTTCTGCACATTTCCAGGTATGGTACAGACTGAGTCCTGGGTGGAAAAGCTGAACTTACCTCCTCTTGACTTTTACTGGTTTAAAAGGCAACATATAAAACAGATAATTTACAGCATGTGACTATTTTCCTAAAACTAATGGAGCACCATTGAAAATAGTTTGCCCACCCACCTACTCCTTTCTCACACTCACATAGCCTAAATAGCTGTGCTTTATCTCTAACTAACCAAAGGAAAGGCAAAGACCAAAGTCTATAAAGGTGAAGACAGGAACCAAAATAGATGGCTACATCATAACAAGGGATAAAGAAACCCTTACACTACCTATGTGAGCTAACTGACAAGGTGCAATGGTACAACCAGGTATGTGACCAGGTAAAAGGCCAGGATATGCCCAGGCACCTTGTCAACTAGATGCAATTTGCTGTTGCTAGTTACTCGAAACATATGTGAACATCAAGAACATTCAGGCCATACAAAAAGTGGGCCCCTATGTGAGAGGCTTGGATTACAGGCGGGCACTCAATCTGGAGATATCTCTGTGTACTGAGACAGACCCATTCACTCATAAAGGAAGTTATTCTTTTTCTAATGCAGATGATCTCCTACAGGTTCCACAGATTCTAAAGCTAAACCAATGTATGCTAGATGTTTTTGTTGCTATAGTTTTAACCACAATATACATACCCATCTTACACATCTTGGATATTCGAATCTGCCATCTATACACTGTACTCTGAATGGAGGAGAATTACGATCTGCACGGTAGCCCCAGTTACAGGCAAATTCTGTAATATCTCCAGATTCTGCATACAGTTTTGAGTCGTATTTCCACTTCAACTGTATATTGTTCATTTTCATGTCTTCTTCGCTTGTTGAACAAGGAACTGCAAGAAAAAACACCAATTAATCTATCTGACATTGAGGTTTGTTTGTTTTTTAAAGGACAAGTGTCCATGTGATATGAAAAGTTTATATAGTAATAGATGGGAGGAAGACAGATTCCCTCCGGTGCAGATCACCTTTTTCTTTCCTTTATACCCACTTTCCCTCTTCACTCTCACAAATTGTCTCCAACCAGAGCCTTAATTAACAAACGCCTTTCATCTTAATAGGTTGCATTAAGGGCTTTACATATTTGCTCCAATTTAAAAAAATGCTAGGAAATTAATAGCTCTTCAGGGCTACATCCTTAGATAACAGTTGTGTTATTTAGGCAATATGGATATAGTATTATAACTGCATGAGAGTGTACCATTTTATTGTGCAGCAAAGCAAATCAACATTCTGCAAGGCAAATCTAAAACTGGGGGTGGGGTGGAGGAGGTAAAGCCTAGCATCCTTTTTTCCTGATTGCAATTGATATTGCAAGGCAAGGTTGGACCATTTCATGGCATTTTAAATTGTGGACACAGAAACAACATCCTGCATTCAAAAACTAGATGGCCACTTAAACTATCTGACATTGAGATTTTGTTTTTGTTTTGTTTTAAAGAAAAGTCTTTCTCCATGAGATATGAAAAGCTGATATTTTAATAGACGGAAAGATGTCCACTTTCCCTCCTGTGCACGCCCCTTTCTTCTTTCCCTTACATTCCTCTTGCCTTCCTCACTCTCACAACTGACACCTTCAAAAACTGTCTTCAAGCAGACCCTTAATTAACAAAAGCCTTTTATCTTAATAGGTTGCATTAAGGGTTTTACATGTCCACCTCAATTCAAAGAGTGCAAGGAAATTGAAGCTGTTCAGGGTGACATCCTTAGACAACAGTTGTGTTTTTTAGGAAACATGGGTATAGTATTATAACTGCATGACAGCGTAGCCATGTTTTTGTGCAGCAGAGCAAATCAACCTTCTACAAGGCAGTTCTAAAAATGGGGGCATGTAAAGCTTGACATCCTTTTTTCCTGATTGCAATTGATACTGCAAGGCAAGGTTGGACCATTTCATGGCATTTTAAATTGTGGATACAGAAACAACATCCTGCATTTGAAAACTAGATGGTTTTTGAAAGACTGACTATATACAATAACAAACTGTCAAGGACAATTTTCATGCTGTGGCAGAACCAGGCCTATGGTAATCAGCAGCCATGTTGGGCAGGTGGGCAAAGTGCTGAGTCACACAAAATGTATATTGTAATATGAAGCAATGCCTGGGTGATGTAATGTCCTTACTGATTGGCTATATGTAAATGCCCATGGGAACAAACGTGTGCACATGTCGAGAAGATGTTGGATCTCTTCTGATTAATGTTACACTGCCATGCTGCCGGTTTGTACTGCTAGAACTTCTGTATATACTTGTAAATATACATGGTGTTGGGAAGATTCTACCTATGTGTGTTATTCCACTGGACTGCAGGGACTGACTCAAAATTCTGCTAACACACTGCAGTTTGCACCATCAAGAGGTTATGGGCCCAGAGATGTCTGCCCTGCACCAGAGAAACCTGTGAGTGCCAGAAGGTACCAGAGAAACAGAGGCCAGAGGGCTAGAAGAACTATTCCAGAAGTAGATAAAGTCAAGTAAGGTGAGTGTCCTGCCATTGAGAGCCCAGGAGGGGTAGAGGATGGAGGACAGAGATAAAAGGCAGCATAATGCAGTCAGTTGGAGCAGCAGGAATGGGAGGAACCCCTCTCACAAAATTAAATGAACGGAACTATGTGACTTGGTCAATTAAAGCAGAAATGTCGCTGAGAAGGGAGGATTTGTTGAAGATTGTTTCCAACCCCCCTCCCCCGCTGTCCTGAATAAGGAACAGATAAACCAAAATGAGAAGGCTTTAACAATGATAGTTTTGTGTTTAGAGGATAGCCAATTAATACAGATGTGCGGTCTGACCTCAGCTAGGCAGTGCTGGCAAGCTTGCGTCATGTCTATGTTAGTGATTCTGCTGGCAGCAAAGTAACTCTGACACATAAATTATACAGAGCAAGGCTTGACCCTGATGGAAGCATGTCAGAGCACTTACAGAAGATGAGGAATCTGTCAGAGTATAAAATTTACAGGCCTGAGCAGAATAAATGTATTAATGAGCAGCCATAATGTTCAGGTGTGTCAAAATACTGAGTCACAGTGACTCAGGAGGGCTGGCTCAAAGAAGATGCAACATTTGTGCTGATTGGATACAGCCAGATGCCTAAGTGTATATAAGTAGACTATGTAGAGAAGATGTATTCCTGCTCTTCTGATGAATTCATTGTGTCATGCTGTCGCTCTGTATATTTGTAAATACTGTATCCTGTAAATACGGATCTTGAAGTTACTCTGCTAAATTTCCGTGTGTTCACACACTAACAGAATCTGTTTGTGGAGCTTGAGCAGAGGGGCATGGAGTTCACAGAGAGTCACAAGGAGTATGTGATCCTGAGCAGTCTTCCTGAAGACTACAATGTGCTAGTAACAAGCCTTGAATCCATGCCAGAGAGGGACTTAACCCTGGAGTATCTGACGGGCAGATTGTAGGAGGAAGAAGAAAGAAGGAATGAGCGGTCCCAAGTCAGAATGAGAGATAACATCCCATAGATGAGGAAAGCTGCTTCCAGGAATGATGGAGGATGAGGAAAGCTGCTTCCAGGAATGATGGAGAGCAGACAGAAAGGAATCTTGCTGTAAGACATTGTTTCAAGTGTGGATCGGAAAAGCATTTGCAAAGGAGCTGCAGACAAAAAGGAACTGGCCGGTGAAGAGAAGGTGAGCAGGAAGGGGGGATTTCTCTTGTAAAAGCTACTGATAAAGACTCCAAAGTAATAAACTGGGTTATGGACAGTGGGGCTGTGAGTCATTTGATTCATAAATCAGAGCTATTTTGTTTCCTAGGTACTTCAAAGCATGGCTATGTCTGCCTGGCAACTGGAAAGAAATTGCCAGTAACAGGAGAAGGAACAATTTATGTTCCAGGTTTGAAAAAGAAATTACATGGTATTTTGTATGTGCCCAATTTAGACTGTAATATCCTAAGTGTCTCATATTTGGACAAAGAAGGGTTTCCAGTTACATTTGCTGATAGCACATGTGTAATCAAGAAAGGGAACAGGGTGTGTGCCACAGCAAAACTTGAAAATAATTTGTATGTATTGAAGGGAAGAACACAGAACAAAGTAACACATGCTATAGTCAAAATACACCACTACATGACTAGTGTGCTCATTTGATGCACCGGAGACTGGGTCATGCTAATTTCAGGGTGGTAGAAAAAAATGCAAAAGATTGAAAATGAAACCCTGTAAGAATTTTCTAGATGTTGAAAAACCTCAGGTAACAGAAGTAATGCCAAAGAAAGAGGCTGAAAGAAATCCAAGCCCTTGCAGCTCAGAGGCCCTTCAAAATATTTTGCACAGGGTTTGAGAAGACCTTGAAAGTTGTTGAATCCTTTTTCCCCTCTTAGTCAATGCAGCATTGCATGTGGAAGTGTTATGAATTGTTAAATATCCTAGATTTGGGACAGAGTTATTCTTATCATTTTCTGTGTCAGGGCGTAGAGGTTAGTAAACTGTGGATAGGGAAGTGTGTCCATGAACTGTAATGCCACAAGCCTTTTCTGTGGTTCCCAGTGCTCCCTAGATTTTTTTTTAAAACCATTGCTACAATTTACCACCTAATTTCCATGGCATATGGCTCAATTGGCTGTTTAGTTCAATAAAAATGTTATTTATTTAGTGTTAAATGATGAAGGGAAAATGAACATTAGCATTGACTACAAAAAGAAATGTTTAATTATGTTTACTTCTAAGCTACCGCATTATTTCCTCTTTGTGATTAAAACTGTCTTTGTTAGAAAAATCTGAAAATATATTGATCCCCTTTTCTCTCTAATAATGCACTTCTCTTTATTAAACGCTTCATTCACTTCAGAGCATAAAAGCATAGAGTTAACACATTAGGAGGCTGTCTTCCAAGACATAACACAAAGTCGCTTTGGGAAAAGTTTCTTTTGCATACACAAGTATATAAAGACACTAAGTTTACAGTATGAGCAAACTTAAAAGGACAAGGGAAAAGTTCAGCTTTAGAATCTGAGACTGAATAGCAGTGGAGGGAACTAACAATGAAGTAACAACCTATTCCAGATAACAGCTCAGTCAGTATACCATTATTGTTGTTATTATGACCCCATGGATCTGAGCACGCCAGACCCTCCTGTCTTCCACTGCCTCCGGGAGTTGGGTCAAATTCATGTTGGAAGCTTCAATGTCACTGTCCAAACATCTCGTCCTCTGTCGTCCCCTTCTCCTCTTGCCCTCACACTTTCCCAACATCAGAATCTTTTCCAGGGATTCTTCTCTTCGCATAAGATGGCCAAAGTATTGGAGCCTCAGTTTCAGGATATGTCCTTCCAGTGAACAATCAAGGTTGATTTTCTTCAAAATGGATAGGTTTGTTCTCCTTGCAGTCCAGGGGACTCTCAAGAGCCTCTTCAGCACCACAATTCAAAAGCATCAATTCTTTGGCGGTCAGCTTTCTTTATGGTCCAGCTCTCACTTCCGTACATCACTACAGGAAAAACCATAGCTTTGACTATTCGGACTTTTGTTACCAAGCTGATGTCTCTACTTTTTAAGATGCTGTCGAGGTTTGTCATCACTTTCCTCCCAAGAAGCAGCCGTCTTTTAATTTCGTGGCTGTTGCCACCATCTGTAGTGATCATGGAGCCCAAGAAAGTAAAATCTGTCACTGCCTCCATATCTTCCCCTTCTATTTGCCTGGAGGTGATGGGACCAGTGGCCATGATCTTAGTTTTTTT